AGCCTGGGTCTGGGACCTCATAGGGACGGCCTCTTGCAAGACCTTCTCAGCAGGCCACCTAAGGCATGGCTTCGGGCAGCTACAAGCCTCCTCTCTGGGGGTGTCCCTAGAATCAGGCCCACAACCCTCAGTCTAGGAGCAAGTGACTCATAGGCCCAAGAATGGACACCTGTGGAGCTCACCAGCTCCATGTCCACATGGGCGGCATACATGGCCCATTCTGCCAGCTGAGTCCACAGGGCCCCTAGGCAGACCAGCTCCATGGTTGCCTCCTGGCCTGGGAACCCTCCAAATGCCAAGAAAAGGATGAGGAGAGGTATATGTGGCAGCCCAGCAGAGGCCATGGCTTGTCTTCAAGCTCCAGGCTGGGGTCTGCTCAGTACAGGGGGCAGCACCCAAGAGAAAGGTCCCTGTTTGGAGCCAGCCACAGGCCTGGGCTAGAGTGTGGAGGGCCACAGGGCCAGACCCGCCCATGCAGTGAGTGGGCACCCCCCACCCAGGGCCACAGGCTCGCGGCCTGGCTCACCTCCACGTGCCATTGCTTGCCCAGTGCGTTGACCACACGGCCCTCGATGGGCCGGCGGCAGGCCCCGCAGAGGGGGCGTGGCAGGGCAGGCAGTAGAGCTCGCCCTTCAGCTCTCGGGCCTCGGCGGTCAGCTCCTTCCTGGAAGGTAGTGTGGAGCCCCAGCTGCCATCCCGGCCCTGCAACGGGCTCACACCAGCTCGGCCAGCCTGGGGCAGCTCCCTGAGAGGCCCATTCTGTCCCAGCAGAGCCGAGGCGGCACTCTCTGATCTCTGGTCCCTTTAGAGACTTCCTCTGTGAACCCCAGCCGGCCCCTGGAGCACAGAATTCCCGCACGCCCTGGCAGAGGGCGGCCTGTGTTCTGCAATGTCCGGCTCACTGAGAAGCAAGCCTGTTCTCAGGACCCCCTCCTCCTCCAACCCAGACTGGGTGTCTGGGACAGGCACAGGGAGGACTGAAGGGCACTGAGAGGATAACCTTAGCGTCTCTCTTTGTCTCCCCGACACCAGCACTAACCCACCTCCAGGGCCACCAAATTTCACCTTCATTCTCCACCCCTTTGATCCCCTCCTCCCTGCTCGATCCTGACCACTATCCTGGTGCTCCTGGCTGGCTCTCATCTCAGCCTCAAGTGTCCCTTCAACAGAGCCCTGAAGAGCCCCTTCCTAGTGCCCACCTACTCTGCTCTGCACCCCACTCGCCAGATGCTCCCCTCTGCCCATTTGGTCCACCTCTCCTGTCTCCTCACTGCCCCCTCAGAGGAGGTGGGTCCTACTGGCCCTGCCTAGTGACAGCCCTGGCTCCTCCGTCCCCATCTCAGAGGCCGGGCTGAATACCTACCCACAGTGAGTGCAGCTGAAGTGGTCGGGGTGGTAGGCGTCACTCCTGAACATGAGGGGCTGCTCATCGATGACCAGGTGGCACCGCTGACAGATGTACTTGCCCAGGCCCTTGGCCTTCTCGCGGTTGTGGCAAGGCCTGCAGAGGTGCCTGTGGGAGGTGGGGGCAGGTGTCAGGTGACCCTCCATGCCTGGCCACCTATAGAAGAATGCCCCAGACCCCCAACTGTCACTTCAGTGAGTGCCTGGGTGCTGAACAGGGCTCAGCCCAGGGGGACAGGAAAACCAGCTGCCCAGTCACACAGCCTGCAAGACCTCATGTGTGCCCTCTACAAGGAACCTATGCTCATGAAGGAAATACAAAGGGACAGCAAAAAGTTTGTGGAAAATACAATTAAAGTACAAGTTTATTTTGGTGCAAATGATTTTTTTTTTTCAGATCCATGCATAGATTTTTATAATATGCATTTTTTACAATCTTTCTGAAAACTCCTGGCCCCCCAGAATGTTTTTGTGTGCTGTCTTTGGGTGGTATTTTTCTTTTCCACTTTTCCTGAGTCTAGGGCACCATGTGGAACACGGTAAATGTTTAATGACACTTGCCGAAAACTTAGTTTTCTTTTCCAATTGTCCTTCCACACAAATGATAGTGAACGTCAGCCTTACAGTCCCAGCAGAGCAGACAGTGTGTGCCGGGACTGTGGGGCCCACAGGCCCCCTTCCCTTGGGGTTTCCAGGATGAAGAGGAGCCTGACCACGTACAGGCGCTTTCTGTCTCAAAGACAAGCACAGCTGTGTCAGAGGGAGGCCCCAAACCCAGGGACTTTCATCACAGAGTCTTTTTTGTGAACCTCCAAATAATCTCTGACGCGACTCCCGTACTCAGCAACAGCTGTGGTCTCAACTGGGAGAGACTAACACGGTTTGTGTTTCCTCAGGACTCAAAGGTGACAAGCGCCTAGATCCAGGGTCCCCAGGCGCATGCAGGCTCTGAGTCAACACCACCTACTTGCCATCGCCGCCTGCCACCCCAATCTCTGTGCTCCTGACGCATCCAGGCCCCTATTCCAGGCCCCAGTCCACAGGAGAGCCTCCTGCCCTCACCAACCTCCATGGCAACCTGACACTAGGGCCAGCCCCATTCATAGCCCAATCAGGGAGTCCAGTAAGAGACGAACCCTCGAGTCAGCAGGTAGTGCAGAGGTTAAGGCAGCTGGGTCCCATATGTCTGGGTGCGTAGTTTGAGTCCCAGACCGGTGGCTTAAAAAACACAAGAGGCATATATGTGTGCATGTCCATCATCCCAACAGGAAAACGGAGCAAAGGGATTACAATGTGGTCATTCCCCTGGGGTGATTTCTCTCTCTCTCTCTCTGGTGAGTGCATATACTGTATAGCAGACGAAAGGAAGGAAGGAAGGAAGGAAGGAAGGAAGGAAGGAAGGAAGGAAGAAAAAAACAAGATGAACTGTCAAACTCTAGGTGCCCCCAATAGCCAGGTGTGGAGGGCAACCCAGATGCCAGGGTTCACAATTCAACATCCCTGCCCTGGGCCCCAGTGTTGCTACGCCTGTTTGGTTCTGGACTCTGCCTGCACAGCACTCTCTCTGCCTGCCCTGGGGTGTCTCATTTTCCCAGCTTGGGTGCAGGGCAAGGGACACAAGTGAGGTACTCAGGAGCCACATCCTAAACCATCTACTGGCCCCAGCTATGCCTCCCCCAGGCCCGATGAGCCCAGTACAGTGCAGCAGCTCAGGACTGGTTGAATACATGAATGAATGAGTGATTGTGCAAGAGAGGAAGAGGGAGTGCGGGGACATCATTTCCCTGAGATAACAGGGCTGGGCTGACACACAGCCAGTGTCCAGCCCAGGACCCCTGCATGGGCAGCAGATGTGGCACGTGGCTTCAGCCTTCATCATCATACCTCCAAAACCCAGCACACCTCCTTCACCTTCCACCCCCACCCAGACACCTGTGCCCCTGGCCACCACCAAGCAGGCCCAGGGCTGAGCCTCCCGCTGTGGCTAGCCCACTGCCCCATCCATGTCACTGTCACAGATACAGCGTTTATCCCCAGGAGCCCTATTCCCAGTTTGGTACTCCTTAGCATCAGGGCAGCATCCATGCCACATGCGGCAACTTCTGTTCAAAGCTAAAGAAATTCATTTGGCTCCCCAAAATTCTATTGCAGTGGGCAGTGCCCTTGAAGCCATTACCAGTGATCACCCCAATCACCGAACGTCTCAGCCCAGAAGTGGGAATCAGTTTTTTGACCTGGTCTCAACACCAGACCTAAAGGCAATATTCAGAATTCTTTTCCAGGTAGAATTAAGATGGAACCTAAGAACCTGCCATCAAACAGACAAACAGAGCAAAACTGAATAACATGCACTCCCCACACTTGTGTTCAAATCCTGGTTTTGATACTTCCAGGCACTTGCCATTAGGGGAGTTACGTCATGTTTCTGAGTCTCAGTTTCATGTCTGTAAAATGGGGCAGTAATTCCAGCTGCACAAGGTTATGTGAAAAGACAAATTTAAGATAGTTCATGTGTCAGGCCAGCAGGTGGCGTGGTGGTTAAGGCGTTGGACTCCCACATGGTGGACCATGGTTCAAGTCTGAATCCGGTGGCATGGAACTCACATTGGGTGCATGTGCGTGTGTGCCCAGGGGCCCAAGAAAATGGAGGCGAAGGGACTGTGGTGTGGCCGTTCCCCCGGGGGGTAATTTCTCCCTATCTGTCTCTCTAGTGAGCGCGCATACTCTATAGCAAAAATCCCTCAAAAAAAAAAAAAAAAAAAAAAAAAAAGAAAGAAAGAGAGAAAGAAAGAAAAGAAATAGTGATCGTGCCTGTGGTAGATACTCCCTAAATCCCAGCTATGTTTATTTTGGGGGCATTTTTCCCCCATTAATGATAAAACATGTGTACATGCACGAGAGAGAGAGAAGCACCCTCCACAGGGCTCACGCATGCTGAGATCCCTCCCTCCAGTCCTCTAGCCCACCAGGAGCCTGGGCCCACATGCACATACCCAGTGTGTATCGGGTCTACTGGACTAGAGACTTGAACCGCGGTTGGCACGTGGCTTCCAGCGCTGCAACCCAGTACTCTATCAACTGTGCCAAAGAGGCTGAGCCCACTTACAGTTTTAAGTGTATTTTTTTATATATATAACCCGAATATGTGTGTGTGTGTGTGTATTAGGTTTTTGTCACAAGGTGCACGTGATCACCAGAAAGAGACAGACAAAAGTGAGAAATCACCCAACGGGGAGGAGGGTTACACAGTCCCTTCTTCACTTTCCTCCCAGAATTTTAGGCACACAAGCACATGTACCAGGTGTGATTTCTAAGCCACCAGGTCTGGGACTCAAACTGCAGTTGGTTATGCAGGAGTCCAGTGCCTTAACCACCACATCACCTGCTGGCCCTGAGTTTTAAATATTGAAACCAAAATCTTCAGAGGTCCTTGGAACTGCTGATGGCGCTTTGGCTCCCACGCCACTGGACTTATATTCGGAAGACAGGGGGAAACGAGCTGTGCTCACTCAGTCTGGGCAGCACCAGCCACATGTAAGTACGGCCAGCCCAGCCCTAAGCCACTTCGGGGAGGAGTCTGGGGCCAGTGGTCAGCGGGCGGCAGGGGCCCCTTCATGGCCTCCAGTCCTGAGGCAAGGACTGGGCCTCGGACTGAGCTGCATCCCCACGGGCACAGACAGCGCCCCATTATGAGGCGGGCTGCAGCTGTGCCCCCTCCAGATAAAGACGGTGATTTATCCCACAGGCCCAAATGGGGCCTAATTATACGGGGCAGGACACAAGATCCTGCAGCAAGTGTCCTGAAAGTCTCCTCTCATGCAGCGGAACAAGACTCCTCAGCCTCCGCCCTCCGCATTCACAAGACCCCCCTACTGTCGCCCAGCGCAGGCTTGGGCTTGCTGGCCAGTTGCCATGGCAGCAGCCCCTCCCTGCCCACCCCCCATGTAAGAAATCATCCCCTTCTGAAACGTCCTGTTGTGTCTGTCAGTCCCAGCCAGAGCCCCCGGCCGGCCCTCACCCACTCCGAGGCTCCGACAACAGGCACACACTCAGCCTCTGTGACGCTTGGTGGCCAGGCTGGGGGCGGGGGGAGCACGGCAGGACACACTGGAATATTCACGGCCCAGTGGCAGCAGAGGCAGACAGAAGCGGCCCACCACACAAGGGACCCCCTCAGGAATGAAGCGGCCTTTCAGGGCCAGAGAGGCTGCAGCCTCCCCTCTTCTCCTTAAATAGCCCGCCTTCCAGCCACGGCTCTCGGAGCCCACCGGCGCCACACCCGGGCCACAGCTGACCTGCCCCTTTCTCCTGGACCACTGTGAGAGGTAAGGGCTGGGCCAGGGGGCAGGCAGGAGGCCTGGGGGCAGGCAGAGGCAGACACAGAGCTTGGGTGGGGCCGGGTTTCCTTGTCCCCTGTCCCTGTCTCTCTGATAACGGACGACCTGTGGATTGCAGGCTAACCACAGTCCAGACCCGCAGTAGCCCACAAAGTGGTGTTTCTGTCCCTCTGTCGGGGGTCACAGAAGGCAAGTAGCCTTCCCAGAGACTCACAATGCAGTGAGAGCCAGCGGGAACCAGCACCCACATCACCAACCACGGTGCCAAGACACCGGGAAGATTAGAGGTGGTCCCAGAGGGAGCAGAGCTCAGGCCAGGCAGGGAGAGGTGCCACTGCTGCGCCTGGCCACAGCCGGCCACCGCAAGGCCTGAGACTTGTCTCCAATGCTCACCTTCCCCACAGCTAGGACGCGACACTGCCCCAGGCCCAGGCCACACTCCACACGCCCCTCTCCCCTACCCCAGTGTCACTCCATGGGCTCAGGGTAGTCAGAGCAGAGTGAGCCTCATCGAGACTGAGGGCAGAGTTTCCAAGGGACAATGGAGAGTGAAGCAGGGGCCTACGAGCCCGAGAGGTACAAGTCAACATCAAAACTCCTAAAACAGGAGACCAGCAGAGGGAGGAACCTCAGCTAGAAAGAAGCCAGAAAGCATTACGGGACCGACCCTCAGTCCCAGAGGGCGAGGTGTACACAGGCTTCAGGCGCCCCCAAGCCGTGCAGGAGGCAGGAGGCTGGGCAGGTGGGCTCACCCACGGTCCATAGGACATGACCCTGCAGTCACACGGAGCCCCCACTCACTGAATGCTCTGCCGTCACTGGTTTAAAATGTTTATGTTCTGAGCAAGAGGCTGAGCAATTTCAATTCCCACAAGGCCCACAAAATTAGGTCGAGGATCGTGGGACCAGACCCAGAGGGGAGGCAACTCCGGCCAGTGCTGAGACCAGCCACACACTCTGGTCACAGGGCCTGCCGCCCCTGAGGCAGGCAGTATCCCAGAGCACCAGCTCTCCCTGGGCTGACCTCTAGGCCACTGTCCGGCAAGTTAGCAGACCCGAGCCTCAGCTGCCATCCGTGAAATGGGCATTTGCTGCCTACCTCTGGGGACAGGTGCAAGCGAACACAGCTGCCCTTGTGGAGGGTCACACTGTAGAGCACAGCCCAGGCTGAGGGGCAGCCCAGGCAGAGGCCACCCAGCCCGCCCTTGCCCACCCCCAAGTTCCCACATGAGCCCTCACTCACAGCCCCTGTCACCTCCAGCCCCAGGGCTCTCTGGCTCAAACCTTCTTCCCTCCTCACATGCCTGTCTACCCCTCACCAGTGGAGCCTATCTCCCTCAGTCTCTGGGCCCCATCCATACCTGTAGCCTCCCCCACCCAGCAGCCCTCACCCCTTCCTCAGGCTCTATTCCCATCTTTCCCCTTTACTGGGGAGCTGGGAAATTCCACCTCTACATTCTGTTCAACTCTCTGCGCCCTCCCCTGAGCTCAGCAGTCCTGGGGACAGCGTCACAGAGCCCACTCAGTCCAAGTCAGAGGAGGATGCGGTCAGAACTGGCACAGGAACATGACCCTGACTGACCCCGTTCCTGGAGGCAGCAGGAAAATCATTTCTGCCATTAGAGATGCTCAGGAGCTGGGGGTGATACTCCTGGGCAGGGAGCATCCCTGGTTTCCTTAACTAGTTCAAAGGTAGTGGGCCCAACCATGGTGGTGCGCGCAGTAGGTGCTGCTGTATGAGGCTGAGGCTGCATGGCAGGCCCAGGTTCAGATCCCGGACCTTCTGAAACAGGCCAAGTACCGGTGGCATGCCCCTGCTGTCCTAGCCAATTGGAGGCTGGGAGAGGATGGCAATGGCAAGAACCTGTCAAATACCTACCGCTCGCTTTCATTCTCCCTCTTCTTCTTCCCAAGCTCACTTGCTCTCTCTCTCTCACTTAAAATTTTAAGAAAAGAAGAAGTCGCGTCTTTCAAGTGCCCTCCCTTTGCTTGAGGACATCAACTAGCCAGATGCTCAAGACAGCCAGCCCTTGCCCTCCTGAAGGGAGCAGCCAAGGGACTGGCAGGGGTGGATGAGGCCTGAAAGTCTGAGGGCAGCCCTGCTCACCTTCCTGAAGGATGGAGCCCACGCCCTTCCCCAGGGCCATGCCCGTGACCATTTTCCATCCATGCATGGGGAGACTAGGCCTCCTCCCTGAGGGCGGCTGTGTTAAGGAGCAATGGACCCCACAGGAGGCATCTTTGTGATCATGAAGAGAGGGGGTGAGGCTGGGAAAAGTGTGCAGACACATCTGGTTCTAGGCAGGTCCCTGGCTACTGGTGTCAGGCCAGGGCCACCCTGAGAACCACCCTGCATGGCTGCAGCTTGAGCTCCACCTCCCCGCTGCTGTCCTGCAATGATGCCAACCTCTGTCCTGCAAATCCCTCTCCTGCCCCTCCTGCAGCCCAACCATGCTGGGGGTGTGTATGGGTGCTGGGAGGCGGGGCCTCCAGTGTCCCACACCCAGGCTAAAGTCTGAGCAGCCCCAGGAAGAGCAGGCAGGGCTGGCGGCTGTCCTCGGCCAGGCACGGTATTCATCTCCCATCCTAGCTCTGGGCTCTGGGCTGCTCTGGCCCCACCACCTTCCCTCTCCTGCCCATGCTCCTTCCTCCCAGGCCTCTGTGAGGGAGGCAGGGTGTTTGGGACACCCCCCC